GAGGAACATAGGGCTTCAGCCGTGCGTCTCCATTGAGTTCGGTTCTCTGCTAGAGTTTTCACCTGGCTCCAAGTCTGCCCACACGTTTTCATCTCCTCTTCACATGACCTCCTCCAAGTCACCCTTACACTGACGACCAACTCGCCGCTTCCCTTTCGGGTTCCACTCAAGGGCTTGTTTAGTGATGTCACTTGATGGTTTGTTTTCCCAGAGTATGACCAATCCATCTCCATTTCTTCCTGCCTATTTGCTTCACAATTGGTTCCTGGTTGGTTCGCTCCCAGAGATTTCTGTTGCTGATCTTTTCTGACCATCTGATCTTGAGTATTGAGCGAAGACAACTGTTAGTAAAGGTCTGTAGTTTGTTTGAGATGGTCTTTATGACGCGCAGTGCAAGTCTCTGATCCGTACAGTAGCACTGACTGACTTCTAATTGGAGTTGAAAATCTGGATCTTATTTTTGATGCTGAGTGCTGTTGACCTCCACACAGACTTGAGAGTAGTGAAAGCTTGTCTTGCTTTCCCGATTCTTGCTTTGATATCCTCATCAGTTCCGCCTGTAGTTGAAACGGTGCTTCCCAGGTCGGTAGGTAAAAGAGGTTGTTTCTTTCAGGTTCCTCCCATTTATGCTTATTGTTGTCAGTTGTTGTTGTTGCTGACCAGGAATCTGGGACCAGACAATACAAGAAGAGAACTCATCATGGGTAGAGAAGCTCTTGGAGAAATGAATGAAAACGGAGAACTCTTCGCCGACTTCTGCGCCTTCAACGAACTAGTGATTGGTGGCAGTGTTTACAAGCACAGAGATATCCACAAGGCTACATGGGTGTCACCAGACGGGCGAACCAAAAACCAAATTGACTTTATCACAATATCGAGGAAGTGGAGACGCAGCCTACTGGACACAAGAGCAAGAAGAGGAGCAGACGTTGGCTCAGACCACTACCTCGTACAAGGGACAATCCAAATCAAATTAAAAGCTTTCAGAGAAACAGGAGCTGCAGATAGACCACAAACCAAGTTCAACACTCAAAAGCTGAAGGACCAGGCTACAAGGGACATCTTCATTGCAAACATAAGGGAAAAAGCCGAGACACAAATCAACACCAACGAAAAGGTCAGCGTCGAAAAGCACTGGAACAACTTGAAAACGGTGTGGAGTCAAACCTGCACGGAAGTCCTAGGCAGAAAAAAGAGACAGGACAAACAGTGGCTCTCTACGGACACTTGGAAACTAATAGAAGAGAGAAGGGTGGCGAAACAAAAGATTATCCAGTGCACCGACGAGCAACAGAAACAGGAGTTGAATGCAAGCTACAATGCACTGAACAAAAGAGTGAAGAAAAGTGCCAGGGAAGACAAAAGAAAATATTGTGAAACCATGGCAAACGAAGCAGAACAAGCTGCAGGCAAAGGTGACCTCGCTACACTATACCAAACAACTAGGCACCTTTCGGGCAAAAGTTCGACACAGATTAAGCCAATAAAGGACGACAATGGAAATTCAATCACCAAAGAGGTGGAACAGAGGAAGCACTGGGCTGAACACTTCAAAAGACTTCTAAATCGTCTGCCACCTACAACGCGTCCAACAATACCAACAACGGAAGCAGAACTACCAATGAACATCGACCCTCCGACGAAATCCGAAGTCCTGAATGCCATCAAGATGCTAAAAGCTGGGAAAGCGCCAGGACCAGATGGAATCCCAGCAGAAGCTTTGAAAATAGACCCAGAGACAACAGCGGACTTGATGACGCCACTACTAGAGAAGGTGTGGAAAGAGGGCAAAGTACCCGAGGATTGGAAGAACGGATACTTATTCAAACTGCCAAAGAAAGGAGATTTGAGTCAATGTAAAAACTGGCGTGGAATTATGCTTCTGTCCATTCCAAGCAAGATACTATGTCGCATCATCCTGGAGAGAATTAAACAAGCCCTAGATGAAAAACTTCGTCCGGAACAAGCCGGATTCAGGAGGAACAAGTCATGCATTGACCAAATCGCCACCCTACGGATTATCATTGAACAAAGTTTGGAATGGCAGTCACCTCTCTATCTCAACTTCATCGATTTTGAGAAAGCCTTCGACAGCGTCGATCGAGAGGTGATTTGGCAACTACTTCGCTACTACGGGGTGCCGCCGACAATTATACATCTCATCCAACAGCTGTATGACAACGCTGCATGCCAAGTAATCCACAACGGGAGGCTCACGGAATCCTTCGAAGTGAGGACGGGAGTGAGACAAGGCTGTCTACTGTCACCAATGATCTTCCTGATTGCAGTTGATTGGATAATGCGGCAGACAACGGCAACCAACGAGGGAACAGGCATAAAATGGACCGACACAAAAGCCTTGGAGGATTTGGATTTCGCCGATGATATATGTCTGATTTCCCACAAACTCGAAGATATGCAAGTGAAAAGCAACAAATTGGCAGAAGAAGCAGCAAAGATAGGACTTCAAGTGAACATAGACAAAACAGAGGTAATGAAGATTCCTGGCCAACATCAACAGCAACAACCGACAACAATCAGCATAAATGGGAGGAACCTGAAGGAAACAACTTCTTTCACCTACCTGGGAAGCATCGTCTCAACTACAGGAGGAACTGACGAGGATATCAAAGCCAGAATCGGAAAAGCAAGACAAGTTTTCATTTCTCTCAAGTCTACGTGGAGGTCAACAGCATTCAGCGTCAAAAATAAGATCCGTATTTTCAACTCCAATGTGAAGTCAGTACTACTATACGGATCAGAGACTTGGCGTGTCACAAAGAGCAGCTCAAACAAGCTACAGACCTTCATTAACAAATGCCTTCGCTCAATACTCAAGATCAAATGGCCGGAGAGGATCAGCAACAAAGATCTCTGGGAGCGAACCAACCAGGAACCGATCGTGAAACAAATAGGCAGGAAAAAATGGAGATGGATTGGACACACTCTGAGGAAACCAGCAAGTGACATCACTAGACAAGCCCTCGAGTGGAACCCGAAAGGGAAGCGACGAGTTGGTCGTCCAAGGGTGACCTGGAGGAGATCATGTGAAGAGGAATTGAAAGCGTGTGGGCAGACTTGGAGCCAGGTGAAAATTACAGCAGAGAACCGAACGCAATGGAGACGCATGGCTGAAGCCCTATGTTCCTCTAGGAATTAAAGGAAATGATAATAATAATATGCAGTTATACATAAGAACTACAATTCATAATACACAACAGTTTCAGGAAGTTATTTTATCCAGAGGAAAGTAGTGTGCTATTAGCGTTGATTTTATCAAGAACCGACATTAGTTAGAAAACCATAAAAATGTTAGAAGCACTGGAAAGTTGTCTCATTCTAATCGGAGACTCCTTAGCCATGCGCATTCACGACCCCACAATGAGTTGGACCCAGGACATTCGAAGTGTGAGGTGAGTTTGCTGACCATTCAGCAACTGGGTTGGAGTCTATTGACCTAAGAACTCTGACTTCTGTCAGTGCACAAAATATGACACCACCGCCATTCAAGTGGCTTCGACGACATGGTGGACCTCATCTGTCACGATTTTTTGTTTAAACTCCTTGAAGACTTCGCTTTGCTGCGTAGGGCACTAAAAGCTGTTAGTAGGGGAAGTGGGATTTCGTTAAACCAACTGGTTAACACTATTGTGGATAGACACATAATGTCATGTAAGAAACTAGCGAATTCTATATTGTCAGACCCCGAACACCCTCTCTATACGCAGCTCTCTCCTTGCATTTCATCTGGTAGAACTAGAAGCAACTATAGGAAGCTATATGCCAGGACTACCAAGTACAAAAACTCCACAATACCTTATCTCGCACAGCTGTTATGTGATGAGAAAACTGTTAGGCATGACATGATCAATTTACTGCGGTACTCTAACAAATAGTTCCCTTTAGCTTTTGTTCTCCTTTCTTTGTTACTATTATATTGTTGCTCACATATTCTATTGCACACTAACTTTATATTTCATATCCTGTGGTATATTGTTTAATTATGTGAATGCAATGCTGTTCTTTTTTTATTTCTTTTATTTCTCTATTTTCTTTTTGTTGTTGTTGCTTTTTATTTTTAAAATCTTATAAAATTTATGAGGTAATTAGATGCAATATTGTAATGCACGCTGAAAATTCCATACCTGTACCACAAATACTGTTTGGAATAAAGCTATTATTATTATTATTATTATTATTATTATTAAGTCAATCCCATAGTCAGTCACTGATGAACGATTGATTAGTTTACAAGGTTTGCTTTGTAAGGATTGGTCGATTTCAGAGTCTATTTCATCACAGACCAACATAAGTGATTTCAAAGTAGTCACGGTTATTATTGAGAAGTGTAATAATGTATAATAGTGAAAAAGTTTAATAGGTAAGGAGTCAAAACCAGATTATATATATACACAGTCGTCTGTGAATAATTGTCTTCGTGTGAATTCCCATTAAATAATGGTTATTCTATACAGGAAAAATTTGGGAGACGTAGTACCACTTTATAATCTAAAAAATGTACCAACTGTCAGGTCTGGCAGTTTTTAAAAAATGATCTCTCAAGGAGTTTTGCGTGCATGCCGTATCGAAATCTTAAGAAGAAGCATCTCTACATATAATTTCGATCCCTACCTTGGAACCAATCAGTTCGATATAAGTGATGCGCTAATCCATTTGTCTATAATTATCCATGTCCGCGTATAACTGAACCTGTTCAATAATAAACTAATTTTTATGGAATTACCTACTGCCACACCGCCCAAGTTTTTCGTGATCATACATCATCAAAACTATCAGCAAATAGATGAATTAAGTAGCTAATTCACTGTTTATGTACGATTTCATCGTCTTAGGAAATATAAACCAGTAGTTTATTGTAACTTATCAGACACATTCATTGCTCTTATAACGCATAACACTTTTCTTACATAAGAGTATTAATAACTAAGTAAATACTGTTGTTTATTTGTGTTTTGCTTTTCATTTCAATGTTTTCTTAGATGGCTGGATTTCTTCAATCATTAGCATATCGTTTTGGTGTAAATATTCTATGCTATGATTACTCGGGTTATGGTGCAAGTTCTGGTCAAAGACTTGAAGAAAATTTATACGCAGATGCGGATGCAGTGTTGCATGAATTAAGGGAACGTTTCAATGTACCGCTTAATCGTATTGTCTTATATGGACAAAGTATTGGGACTGCACCTACAGTTGAACTGGCGACTAAGTACAAGGTATGCTTCAGTTGAATTCTTTTGTTGATGTATTTATCTTAAAGTGATAAAAGAGCAGTGCATATATCATACAATTATAATCGTTAACAAATATATTTATGTATTTAAATTATTACTGACATGTTAGTATTGTCGAATCGTACAGTACTTTGCAAGGTTCGTAAGAACCTGTGTCAGTACTCACCCTCCTTTTTGAACCTTCAGTAACCAGCAGCCTCGTTGTACCTTGCTGGTTGTGTGAATGCTAATGGAGATTTGATAGATGTGATTTCTGATTTTATGTCCTATGTTGTCATAGTTTGGATGTGCGATGCTGTGGTGTATGATCTTTTGCTTCCTGTCTGTGGAAAGTGGTGTTTATGCTCTAAAGATGTTTGACTCTTTTATATATCAAACCCTCTCTAACTGCATGGTCGGTCGGTTTTCGACATAGAACTTTGCACATATGTGCGGCAGTTCAAGTCGCCACAATCTATGTAGCACGCAAAGCAAGAGAAGGAAGTAGAAGAAATGCATAATATAGACAGTAAACAGAGGTGTGAGACAAAGGAATAGTAATAACTGAGAACAAAACAGTTTAATTGGAAATCATAAGTCACAAGAAGTGGATGCATCTGCGCCACTGAGAACGATTTCGAGCCATGTCACCAATTGTTTCCAACCATTGGTTTTTACCATCCCGAGGGCCCCAACCAGGAAGTCTACATAAGATTTCAGGTACATCATGTTGACTCTATGTGAATAAAGTGGACGTCAGGCGATGTTTATTTGGATAAGATAGAAAATTTTGTTGTTAATTTTAGAGAGAGAAGCACATTGTTCTGCATAAATCATGCCACCCTAGAACGCAGACTCCATTGCCTTGTATATATATATATATATGTCTGACTGACTTTTCAATGCAGACTTGGGCACAGAAGTATGCCATTTCAAGTCTCCATACACAAATACAGAAAGGAGAGCTAAATGAATCTGCAATGGGGATGCGGATGTGTAGGAGAAAAAAATATGCTTAGATGAAGTATAAGGGAGAATTTTCAGAATTTTGTTTCACTTGACGTTTTAGTTTTCCATCCTCTCTACTTTTTCTCTTTTAATTGATTAAAGATAGCCATTAGAGATTTCAAAAAAAAACTGATCAGAGAACAAAGAATAGTATTTTCGATAACTTTTCCACCAGGTTCTACAGTTATATATATATCCATAATGGTTGGGATTATTTTAAGTCATTTTTATAATGATTCAATCTGATTGGGTGCTCAAATTATCCCATGAAAATTCGTAACATCTATGGTCTGAATATTTATAAACAAAATATTTATTTGGACAAGTGTAATAATAAATTAGGAATATAAGGAATCTACACATATGGGACAGAAGGTCATACGTAATATGTAGGACGTAGTACTGTATTTTTGGATTTACAGATTTCACAGCAGGCCAATGTGGCAATAGTGGCCGAACTTGTCTCTCTTAGACTCCAGGTGACGACTGTTTTAAGCGAGTTGCAGTGACTTTCGGAGTTTGGAGTATGGGGTACACGTTAGACGATAGAAAAGGGATTCAAGTATTGGTTGGTAGGGATTTGGTTGATTGGTTACAGGATTTCATCATGAGCTGACATTGGTTAGAGAACCATTGGAAAACCTGGGAGTATTGGACAGCTGTTTCGTCCTAGTTTGGGACTCTTCAGCAGTACAAACCCATCGGGGTTCGAGTGCAGGACAATCTGGTTACAAGGCGAGCTCGTATACCATTAAGCCACTGGGACCCGATTCAATGGCCCATGAATTCTATGCTTGTCTGTTTGGACAAGGTGTGCTGATAATCAATTTGTTAGTGCTTTTCAATAGACCTTTGTTTAGCCACACAGCTGTATAGGCGTGAAGTTTATTAAGCAATCTGAATAAAATGTAATATGAACACCCCCCCCCCCCTATAACAAGGATTCATTACTATGTATTCGGTGTTATCCATGATCCTTATTCAGCTTTGAAATCTGATGTTCATTTTAGTGTTACTTTCATGCATATTATTAAATAAACAGTACCCATTGTTAAAATATAAGCAAACCATATTTCATCCTTTTATGAAATTTAATTTAAAATCCCAACATCTATTCATTTCATCTTTTGTATAACACTGCTTTGAATTTTTATAAAATTCTGATCTAATTTGATTATTGAATTGTTTACACATTATAATTTATATTATTTGCAGTATATTATTATCACCATCTGCGTCAACTGCTTGTACTTTTATTATCATTGACCTTATTATTATTATCACCATTATTATTGCTATTATTATAATCCTTTATATTACTGACATATATATATATATATATATATATATATATATATTCAACACTTAACATTCATATTTTCTTTCATCCGTAAATTCACCGTCATTGGTTAAAATGTTTGTTTTATATACATAGAGTTGTGTACATTAGATTAAAGAAGATCTAATTGAAACCAATTTTTTTGCTCATATGTCGTGTTTTAATTTTAACAATGGGAATATTTATGCATATTATCATTGACACATGTTTTGAACTATAATCTATGATGTCAGTGATCCCATGTTATCTAAAAAACACTCATGTTGTTAATAACAACTTATTCTCTAACTGTTATTATATTCCTTTGCTTTCCGACCGGGACATAGGACTTCAAGCTTAAACTCTGAAGTTTCAATAACGGTGGTGTCTTTTTATACGGAGTGACGTTGCTAGCCTCGTGCCCAACTTTCCCTCTTTCCCCGACTTACTACCGGTTAAACGAGATTTAGCAGTGTGTCGACTGGGGATCGAATCTCGAACCATATGCGTGATTGGCAAGTATTCTACCTCTAAATCACCGACTCACATTCTCAAACTATTAGGGATATATATATATATATATAGCATTTTTATTACAATACACAACAGTTTACCAAACAAGTGGCGATATGTTTGTTAACAATAATTAAACAGTGTCAAAATGTCAATGGGTTGGTAATTAACGAAGAAAATCAATACAAATTTAAAAGGTAGAAATGGATAGAATAAATTAATTTTACAAGGAAAACACGTAATTAAAGATGAAGTGGTCAAAATAAAAATAAAATAATTTGGACAATTATAATTTAATAGGTTTAGGGGGAGGGGAGGGGGTGAGGTGGTCCTGTCTTGCAATGATGGCCACGGTAAGGAAAGTGGCTGTACAAATTTCTTCTGTACACATAGGCTTGGTTTCTTCTGGTGGATTCCGACTGCTTCAGCTGTCTGTAGAAGACGAACTCGTAGAGCAAAGTTAAGATTAGTCGGAATGCGATAAATAATTTTAAATGCAGTATTCACATCAATACCAGCTTTATAACCTGTTTCAACAAGGTGATCTAGTACCAAAATGTTGATGACTTTTTATTTTATGATTTATTCTTTTCATTATTATTCCCTCGAATTCCGAGTGGAACATAAGGCTTCAACAAAACATTTCCACTTTGTTTTATTTTTTACTGTCCTCTTCAGCTGGACTCATGACTAAACATAATCTCTCGTCTTCTCCTTGCATGGTCTCCTCCATTTCACCCTCAGACGACCCTCTCGTCGCTTCCGAATCCATCTCCATTTTTCCTACACGTTTGTTGAACGATAGATTCTTGGTTAGTTTATTCCCATAATTTCTTGTTGGGAATTCTTTCTAACCGGCTAGCCATTTGATCTTCAGTATGGAGCCAGCGGAGGCAGCTGTTGATAAAAGTTTGCCGTAAGCCGTATGGAACAACTGACTGACTTCACATTTGTGTTGAAATTCCGAATCTTGTTGTTTATGCTGAGGCTGAGTGCAAACGATTTCAACGTGGTTTCAGATGGATGTTTCTTGCCTTTCCGATTCTGTCTGACTTTGACATCTTCATCCGTTTCGCCTATGCTTGAAACGATGCTTCCTAGAAAAGTGAAGGAAGCAATCTCTGTCAAATCTGTAACCCTTTGATGGTGATCGGTGCTGTTGGTTGTTGTTGTTTCTGTTGGTCGGTTGGTTGGTTGGTTATCTTAATAACCTCCGTCTCCTCAATGTTCACCTGGAATCCTGTCCTCGCTTCCAGCCTGTTCAGCCAGTTTGTTGGTTTTCGTTTGTAAGTCTTTGTGTTTGTGTGACATTAGACATGTATCATGTGCGAAATCCAGATCTTGTATAGTTTTCTTATCACAGGTCTAGCGTATTCTTGTCTCGTCGCTCCCCACAGTCTTCCGCATAATCTAGTCCACCACAATTGAGAATATCATCGGTGATAACAGGCAGTGTTGTCTTACTCCTGTATTCACTTCGAATACCTCGCTGAGTTTTCCGTTTTGGATCACCTGGTACGTGGCATTGTCAGATAGTTGTATGAGGTTGATAAAGAATTGGGGTACTGCATGCCGTAGGGTTGAAGTAGTTTCCAAATTACTTATCGATCAACGCTGTCGTAGGCCTTTTCAAAGTCGATGAAGTTAAGGTAGAGGTAGTGTAGTTGATGAATCACAACTGGTCGTGTAAAAAAACTATGACGTGTAGCTTACCGGTATTATGTTATTTCACGGTGAGTCTTCAATTATTATTTATAAATTTGTAGAACTCTAGATTAACACTCTGTACGTGTATGTATTACTCAAACCAACATTCACTTCATGATTCCAATACCAAAACATTTGAAGCAACATCTCATGTTGAGTCAAACTTCCGCATATATTACCAGTCAAATTTAATAAGTGCTCTTATAGTTATGATTTAGAAGTGCTTAATTCCTAACTTTTGGGGTTTCTAAAGCCCACTCACATACTTATTCACTTATTTCTATCAAACACGTTATTTTCTTCGTGAATAACTAACTCTTCCGTCAGCATGGTATTAAGTCTACATAGGATTCGTACATATCTAATAAGTTTAAATATCTCTGAAAGTATCTTATTATTTATTTAGAGTTTCCTACATGTTACTGTCGATCAATCAAGTCAAGGATATAAGATGAAATCACTTAAGACTAATACTATTTACTACTACTACTATTACTGGTCTCAATTCAACAAGAAATGAATCCCTTCCTCTTTGTTGTCTTGCTATCAATCATTTCCTGTAGTCTCTGTTTATGGTTTTCACAATAGAATTCATTAAAACCGTTAGCACTTAGGTAATGTATATATATATATATATTCTGTTTGCCGTCATTATTAAATTAATGTAGTGATTTATGACTATTGAAATAACTGAAGTACCTAAGTGTTTTATACAAACCGCATTTCCATTTTTATGTATAGCATGTTTTCCTGTTTTTCAACTTACTTGATTTCTGTTGCTTTTTTTTTCTCTCTCTTTTACACCACACACATATTATACGCGTGTACATTTGTTTTATTATTATTATTTTTAGCAAAATGAAATGAATCACAGAAATATCTGTGTGTTAAAAAAAACACCAACATTCATGTTTATTTCTAATGTACATAATGCACAATTTGATACATTTACTGTTATTAATGAATGTTAAATTCGAGGATTAATTTTTATACAAATAAGTTATGACTCTTTTTCTACTTCGGATTTTTATAATACTATTGACAATTTATAGAAGTTAGACATTTACTTTTAAATAAATTATTTATTAAGATTCCTAACGGAACATAAGGTTTCAACAGCACATCTCCACTTCACGCTGTTCTCTGCAGTCTTTTTGTTTTTTGAAGCTGGCTGCACAATTGTACCTAGTCTCTCATTTCCTTCTCACACGATCTCTTCCATGTCACCCTAGGGTCCAACACATAACTCGCTGTGGCCTGGCGCGTGATAATACTCATCTGTCACTATAGGACGTATTTCCAGTCCATCTCCATCCTGTAAGGCAAATTGTTTGGTCGATAGGATTTCGGTTGGTCCGTTGCCAAATTTCCTTCTTGCTAATCATTGCTGACCATCTGATCTTGAGTATAGAAAGAAGGAGGCAGTTGTTGATGAAAGGCTGCAGTAGCCTTTTGAAAAGGCTTATCGTCACTTGGCAAGTGTCAGGACCATCTAGATGCACTGATTTGACAGTAGTGTTGAAGATCCGAATGTTATTCCTTCTGTTAAGTGCGGCAGATTTCCACATTAATTTCAGGTTAGTGAAGGTTTGCTGGCTCTTCTGATGCTGACATCCGTATTCGTGCTGCCTGTAGTCGAAAATTTGCTGCCAGGTGAAAGAATTTCTCCTGTTGAAAGTGATTGGTGCTTGTTGTTGTCGTTTGTTAGGTAGCTTCACCACCTCTATCTTCCCTATGTTCATTTGAAGTCCTGTATTCGCTACCTTGTCTAATAATTTGTTGGTTTTCACCTGTAGATCTTCTAGTTTATGTGATATTAGGTTAGGACTCTCGCCGACCATGCACATGGTCCGGGGTTCGATCCCCTGCCGGCGCACACCCGATATCTATGGTCGGCCTGAATTTGGGCAACCGATATCCATGCTGAAAATTCCATACTTGTACTGAAAATACGGTGTGGAATCAAGCTGTAAATCAAAAATAAAAAAAATAAATAAAAAATATTAGACATAAATCGTCCGTGATGTGCACATCTTCTAGAGTCTTCTTGTCGCGCTAACGTATATATATAGGTCCAGTTTATGGCCGCTTTTGGCTCGTCACGGCCTACTACATGATCCAGTCCACCACAATTGGAAATGTCATCGGTTATAGTAGGTAGCCTTGTCTTACTTCCATCTTCACTTCAGCGGTTTCTTTGAGCTTTCTTTTGTGAATAACTTGATTTGTGGTATCATTATATAGCTGTTTAATGAGGTTGATAAAGACTTGTGGTACTGCGCTCCACAGTGTTAAAGCATTTTCTAAATTTCTTCACGATCGACGTTGTGAAGGCCTTTTCAAAGTCGATAAAGTTAAGGTATAGATTTGAATTCCTTTCTATGCTGTACACAATGAGGATGTGTAGCATTTCTATTTGGTTTACACATTTGCTATTTCTAAATTAAGCTTGTTCCAGGCGGAGTTTAGCATCCACAGCATCTTTAAGTCGCTTTGAGTATGCTGGTATGAGTATATCTGCTGTGGTCTTTGGGTCCATTCTCAGTGCTTCTGGGGGATTCTGTCTGGTTAGAATGGAAAAAAATGTTGATTGTGACCAATCGAAACTGTCTGATGTCAATCTGTTGTAAATTGTTTAGGAAACGGTTATTAATTTCTTGGGGATTTTTAATGTCTTAAGGAGTTAATCATTGAAGACTATGGATAATTTAGTTCAAAATTAATTTTCATTAAAATAGTAAAAGTATTTCAAAATCTCTTCTTATTCCTTTTGGTGTGGTCTCGCCCCTTTTCAATTGCTTCACGTTGTGATTTTGTGAGAGGTTTAATTTTCATTGACATTTTTGTCCGGCAATCTAGGTGATTTTTTCCGTTTGTTAGTGGTACATTTCTAACTGTCTGTCTGTCTGGATTCAACATAGAACTTGGCACCGAAGTGCAGCAGTTCGAGTTGCCACGTTCTAAATAGCATACAAAGGTCGACAAGAAAATGAGTGAAGAGAATCAATAGAGTTTTGGCAAGTATAAGAGTGAAACATAATAAGTAATGGTAGAAAGGAACATGAAAGATTACAGAGACTGAATACATCTGCACCACTGACAACGATTTTTAGCCATGTCACCTAGTGTCTCCAGCCAATTGATTCTTAGAGTCCCGAGGGCCCCAACCCGGAAGTCTGCATCTCCCTCCCTACCTGACTCAGTTTAACTGTCAGGGATTTCATGGATTGATACCATGTTTTTGTTTGGCCACCACTTACTCTTTTCCAACCTGCACCTATACCAGCTAGTAATGCCCGTCGGGGTGGGCGATGGTCAGGCATGCGCAGCACGTGACCTAGCCATCTCAATCTATGTAACTTTATATATGTATATATATATATATATATATATATATATATATATATAGCCTCGTCGATTGATTTTCCCTCTTTGCCCAACACTCTACGCCTAACGTCAACATTACTTACCTTACATTTCTAACTAATAAGAATTAATCGTTTGTGTGTATTTGAAGCGCATTGAATTTGATGATCATTAAATATAAACAAATTACAATCCAGTTAGCTGAGTTGTGTTCAGTTTAAATTTCTTCAACTTTCTATGGTTTTAATTTGTATCTTTGTATCACGATCAAAATATTAATTTTTAGGAATAACTAGACACCCTTACCTACATGCATTTCTATCAGTAAATTATTTCTGTTACTCTTGTCATAACAACTGCTTATACTATTCTATTTTTGCCTTGCAGAGTTTCTTAAAATAACAATAATTAAGTTATTTTAAGTACATTCCATATTTTAATTATCTACATTTTTTAGTAGTTATGTTATTTTGAATCTAACTGTATACAGTCAACTTATTTTGATGGTTGTGTAAATTTATAATTTCAGGTTGCTGGTGTGGTTCTTCACTCTCCATTTATGTCTGGTCTACGTGTTGTCTGTCCTGGAACAACTCGTCGATTCTGTTTTGATCCTTTTACAAAGTAAGCATCTAAATGTGATTATAGTTGTATTGCTGTTATCGCTTTTGATAGTTTCCCTAGTAATTATATATTCTCCATTTATTTTTGTTGAAGTACCAGTTATTTTTTTGGCGAATTTTTGTAAGTAACATTTTTAAATAGTTAGAGAGAAGGTGAAAATTGGGTGCAGGGTTAGTAACCCCACCTCATAAAAACAATACATCTACTGAAAATTCAAGACCTCAAACGGGGAACTCTCTGTTGCACTCTGAAGGGAAAAAGGTGTGCTGTGTACTCAAATGTTACTTTAGCGTTTATTGACTTTCTCGTAACTGACTGTCATCAGCTTAAGAAGTACAAATGCGAAATACTCGAATGGTAAAAGTAGTTTTTGAACCTATAATGCGTGGATTGCTAGCCGAACGTTTTTCTAGCTGGAGGGTTTCATCTTGAGCTGACATCAGTTAGAGAACCACTGAAAAACCTGCAGGGAGTACTAGACAGCTGTTTTGCCCTAGTTTGGGGCTCCTTATCAGTACGCACCCACTGGAGTTCGAACACGGAACCTTCTGGTTACAAGGCGAGCTCGTAGACCATTAAGCCACTGGGAGTCGATCCAATGGCCATCCCATGAGTTCTAACTTCTGCCAATTCATGACATAGCGCGACTACTTCGAAATGTCTTCTTCGATGAGTAACTGTCCTCACCTTCGACCTGCCATAAAGAACGAGAAAATTAATGTATACCTATGCATAAATTGTGTGCGTCGATGGCACAGCGGTAGAATGCTCCCCGAACACGCATGTGGTCTGGGCTTTGATCCGCGGCGAAAGCACTCCATCTCACTAAGCCAGTAATAAGACTGGTTAAGTGAGAAGGTTAGGTACGAGACTAGCAACCCCATCCTGTTACTGAAACTTCAAAGGTTTAGCTTGAAGCCCTATGTTCCCCTGGGAACGTAAAGGAATAAAAAAAATGCATAAATTTGTCACTTAGTGGTAACTAATTCGCTTGCCTAACTCTAAGTGTGTTGGTTAAAATACACCGATCAAGCATGCATTCTGGTTAATGAAACAATTCATGAAATGATGAGTGTTCTAGTTACATAGATTCAAATTAAAAGAACATAAGATGAGCGTAGAATATTACTTTCTGAACTTCTCTTAAGTTGGGGGGGAGTATATCTCAGTGAAAGAGCTTTCGATTGCAGAATGATAGGTCCCTAGTTCAAACCTGGGTACTCCCTTCACTTTATGCGTTGGTGGTTTAGTGGTAGAATGCTAGCCAACCTCTCACAGCCTGGGGTTCGATTCCCGTTCAGTACACCCCTAGACCTTAAAGCCTAGTTTATTAGCCGGTAGCAAGTCCGGATGAAGAGGGGGGGTTGGTTGTGAGGGTAGAAACTCCATCCCACCCCCAAAGAAATCAGCTCCATTACTGTGGCTTCGAAGCTCAAGGTCGAAGTCTTATCTTTCACTTGGAATGCAAAGGGATGAATATTCTATCAAAGCTCTTGAAAGCTGTACAGTTAAAGTATTTTTAAAGACTATGAAAATGTCGATAAAGGTCGATTCATAATATCATTTGGTAGCAAATCATCTGGCTATCTCTTCTGTTCACATCGGAAGCTCTTGCTACACAGAAAGGAGGACCGTGAACTCTGTACACTGAAGCAGGCCTGTTGGGACACCACTCGCCCTACTGACTGACAGTCTTCAGCGTTCTACGAAGTGTGACGTAGTCTTTTTTAAGCAATCTGGGAAAGGATAAGGGTGAACAGTGAAGGAGAATAGGAAAGATGCCAGAGTCAACAAACTGTAAGAGGAGGGGTGGCTGAGTTATGCCTGAGAGCCTTAACTCCTGAACGTGAAACGTCCGCCGGAATATTTTACTAGAAATCACTGAGACGTGGGAAGACCAGGATAGATCAGAAGAAAGAATTAGTTGGAGATACTCAACGTCAGACTTGATTTATATATCACTATCATCAATTTTGCATCGGTCATGGGAATTAATAGCTTCATTTAATTTCGTTTTATATTGAGAACTGAAATTAACAGTGTGACATTTTGAGGGATTGATTTAGTTTAAGACCATTAGACGAAGATCATTTGCTGACTCCTGATAGAAAGCTGTTCATCTTAGTCCAGTCTATGTGGGAGTTGATAGGCATTGGTGTAGTCATATCGTCAGGATACTCAGAAAAATTCGTTTCATCAGAGTGAGGCAAGTCATGCAAGATGAAAGGAAACAGAAAAGTAGAAAGAACATCGCCTTGAGAGACGCCAGCTTCAGTAAGCAATGAAGTGGACGACTTTCCGGTAACTTACAGCAGCTTTCTTCCTGAGCAATAAGAATGCAGTCATTTGGTAACCTAACTCTCAGTCGGAGTTTCAGCTGGGTTATTTAACAAAATAGTCTTAGATACCGAGTCAAAAGCCGATATATAATGTGGGAAGGCGCAGAGAACAGATTTAGCCCCTTTGTCTAGACTAGAGAGTATGATATGATGTAAGACTGCAGCTGCATCTAAAGTATTTCTACTATGTTTGTAAGCGAATTGTTTGGAATCGTTAAAGGCTTCAAGTGAAGTTAGTATAGTTGTTAAATGAGGCTGATCAAGATTTTGGGGCACTGAACGGCATAGTATTTAAGTAGTTTCCAAATTACTTCTCGATCAACGCTGTCGAAGGCCTTTTCGGAGTCGATGAAGTTGAAGTGTAGAGGTTTGACTGCTATTCAATTCTTTGTTCAACAACCTAAACTATAATCTAGGCCTTTCATTCAGTCTTAAATCGCCATTTCACAGTACAAAATTTGTTAATAAATTTAAATATTCATCGGGTTTTCTGATTCACAAATTGAGATACTAATTTCAGGAAGCAAAATATCTGTTTTTCGAGTTGTGTATATGTGTGTGTGTAGGTGTTTACACTATTGTGGCATCGATTTTTCTCTTTTTTTCTATAAGTTATAAAGTTTACTCATCAAGAAAACGACAAGATTATTCTATGGGCACAGATAAATAGGCATTTATGTATACTGTACTGTATTATGTGATTAGCCTAAAGGAAGAGAAAAGTTATTATAGGGTAACCAATTTATACTTTTGTATATTTCGCCTACATTTTTGCCCTTAAGTGATTAATAGCCTTGACATTTCAGTGTTAGGAACATCGTTAATGAATGATCAGATTTGGCAGATAGTGGTGGTATTCAACTATATTTTGGTTTTTTTTGGTTCTTTTAAGTGAGGTGGTAGTTGGTAGCATTTTAGGTTGATGTATATATATTTGTTCATTACACTTTGTTTACATACTGTTAGGTGTTTTATATTTTTTGACAAGTTCTACATTGATCAGAACTGATATTCTAACATGTCTGATCTGATGTTAGAATCTGACTAGTGGATACTTTTACATTGATTATTATAGTCTAATGTAAATAGACAATTCCTAATGTTGATAATGCTTTTTCATTGAAAGTATCATTAACTTGAACCTCACTATAACGATCAGTGTTTGACCTATTAACTAGTATCTTTGACGTCAGTGGCGATCACAGTAACTTACTACTAACTGTTCACTGGGAAGTAACCTGTGTTATACGTCTAATTCCTAGTAACCATTCAACCATTACGGTCACATAGGAGGTTGGCAACGGGGCAGTATACCTCGGTATATATCAATTTCTTGAAAGTTTCAGTTACTTCTTACTGACAGATGTCAACAGGCCCGAAACGTGAGTCGAGGCTTTTCTGCCGATCGGTTCCAATAATTTAACAGTAATATGCTGCTGTAACGACAGAAGACAAGGGCCAGGCAACATATCGTTTATGGAGAAAATCAAGAAATATATTCATGGATTTTTATGTGGATTATTATTAACGTTATTGTTAGTGGAGAAGCAACGTCTTCTGATTGGCTGTTTTCTTGCTGAAGGTTATTCTGTACTACTTGTGACCGTTTCTTAGAAAGTTAAGCCATATATCCGCGAATCGTATTTGCACACGTTAAGTCTGCTGTGATTGCTTAGTGAACTTTTCAAGGTTAACCTTTGTTATTGTTTTTTCTCATGACCCCTATTCGGGACGTAAACATTGACGTGAATTGTTGTCTACAATGTTTGACTTGCAGCTAGGTCTCACCACATTGCTGTATATTTGTTCACTGGTTCCTGTTGAAGTGTTGTCCGTAAATATAGTGTGATATAAATTCATCTGTGCTTAACTGGACTACAGTTCATTTTCTCTTCAATACGTATCTAAGTCACAAAACTAGTGAACAATAGTGTCAAGTTCCTAAGTATTTGTAATATTTTTATGCAGAATTCCTCTGAATGTTCTATGGCTTTGGACTTATTGTCACGAGTCGTTCAAATTTATTTGTTTAAAAAAAATTTACAAATTCTTCACGGATCTTGGAACCTCCAAATTGTGTTTGATAGTTGAAAGTTGTCATTATACTTAATTAGGATTCATTAACACACTAGATCATAAGAAAAATTAAAAAAGACGTTTACAGCTAGCGGAATTATCTTTTGATGGAGTCATCAACTAGTCTGTATACTCGTGTTTATATGGCAAAGTGGTGAGAAAATTCCACAACTATTTCCGGTCGATGGTCAAGTTATAATGAATAATATAATAATAAGAAAAATATACAGGAAGTTCGAATAAGAAACATAATTGGATAAAAATTATTAAGAAAATGTTTTGTTTATGATGACCATGGTAAAGACAAATGTTGGATGTACTTCTTTTTGATGAATAGCGTTGGCTTGAATTTTTGTTCAGCCAGTACTTCAGCTACGCCCAGATATCTTACTCTCACTCCCTTTGAGAGGTTTGTTCGGATTTTGTATACGACTTTGAAGGACTGTACAGAAGTAGTTAAGTGTTTTGAGTTCACTAGATGCTCTTTTACCGAGCTAAAGACACCTACATTCTCTCTTTGTTAGCCAAACTGGTTAGTACTCTTGTGTGCGTTTTACGAACGGACGCATAGTACAGCCAACGAACTCAACTCCATAAGAGTAAGTGAACTGGAATATGTTGGTATTAGATGGTTGAAGGCAATTGGCAGGAGGCCATGGACCTAGATTTCATGCTTGTTGCCACTCACCACTCAGCAAGCTGTATCTGCAACCTTGAAGGAACTCATGTCCCTTCTGAGATTCGAACCCGCGTCACCCAGTGCTGCAGTCTGAGACGTTGCCACTGAACTATTCGGTCCTGCGACTGACGTCCTGTGGGACTAGATTGGATAATATCTTGATTACACACTGGTCAGTAAGTAGTGTAATGTAACGAGTAGGCTCCATGCCGATTGCCTCCAACCATCTAATACCAACAATCTACAGTGCACCGTGATGGCAAGCCACCTAGCATTGTGTCCAAATTGCGAACTTGACTGATCGAATTCAGTCTGCACGAAAGATAGAACCAGATATATTACACTAGTTACTGATTAGTGTTCAATCAAAAAGAACTGGAATATGCATGTTGATTTGTCCCAATGTATCTGCAACCTCAGAGAAAAAAAGATACTTCAATTCAGTTTAATACGTATCTCGTTTTGAGAAGAAAAAATCGACTTTTCATTTATTATGTTTACAGAATGATTATTTGAAAAGTTGGATTGATTTGTTTGAATTTTCCAGTAAAACTTCACATTTCTTTTGCCACATATCTTTCAACAATGCCTTTTAGTTTTATTAAACATTAGGAATACTCTATATATAGGTTTTGTTTTGGTAGAACACCTGCATCTGAATGTTTCATGATATAACATTCATAATCCAGATTAATTGTAATCAATACAATTAATTATGAATGCTGAGTATTTTTTTATTTGTTGTACATTTTAAACGCATACAAACACTCATACAATCACTTGTTTTAGGTCTTTCTTTCGTAGTTAGAGTCAATCAATCATCATTTTTTAAAACTTACAAACCTATTTGATGACCTCAAAACACAGGAAACAAGCGATTATTAGTATAATCAACCGTATTTTAGTGTTTATGATGCATGTAAATAACTGTAAAAGAGAAGCGGAGGAAGAATAATTATTCAGTGCTGAAAAGCATGCTCCGAAATGACTTTGTGGATCACTAGGGAATCGAAAAATCAAGTATTTCCAAGATTTAACATCTGCTGGTTTTTATGTTGTTCCGTTTTTGGGTGAACTGACAAATTTAATTACAAAACCAAGTAATTTATTGAAACATCACGTAAACAAGTGAATACTGTATTGGGAAGTTTCTTTAAAGGCATTAATATTGAAAATGCAGAATGCGGTGATATATGGTAGCACAATTGTTTATTTGGCAGAATCATGTACAGTTATGTGCGTTGGTGGTTCAGCGGTAGAACGCCCACTAACCACGCCTCATGTGGTCCAGGGTTCGATCCCTGGCCGACGCACTCCTAAACTTCGCTAATCCGGTAGTAAGGCCGGTAAAGAAGGAAGGTTGGGTTTGTTAAAATGAAACCACTGCTACTGAAACTGAAGCTTGAAGTCCTATGTTCCACTCGGAACGTAAAGGAATAAAAAATGTACTGTTATGGCAGAATGCATAAGCTGTACATTGAAGTCTCTGTTTGCACGTGTTCCTCGTTTAATACCTCTTTTGTCTTGTTTCCTTGCTTCCGATATTGTTTCACAAGGATGTCTCATCTTTGCAACTTAATCCATCCCTTCGCTATTCACTGCTCTTGCAGAAGACGTAACACATTATATTATATGACTCACAAAATTTTGCCAGTAGCACACGCCATACTATCAGATGATAAATTGAAGTAAAGTATCCTTTGTCTGTGTTTAGGGGAATTCTATAGTCTCTCACAACTATGAAATACCTCCTCAAATTTCACTGATTACCGAAAAGCTATCAGAAGATCAGATATACTATCACTTATCATAATTATGGAAAAATGATTACGAACCTCTTCGATTATTTGAAATTGATATTAGCGGCGCAACTATTGTTCGTCCTTGTGTTATATACTGAACACTCGATCATAATAAGATAATGGCAACTTTCCTTGATGTCATTGAGGAGATTGGTTCCCAATGCATATGAGTTTTCGATACTCATCATGATAGCCACTTCCTCATTGTGCTCGTGGTTTTGCCTGGGTGACCGGAATAGGTGACTGACTCCTTAGTTAACAGCTTGGAGGGTCCAGAACCATTCTATGTACTTCTATAGATTTCTATTGTAACGACGGATAACTAGGGCCAGGCAACAGATCGTTTATTGAGAAAATCAAGAGGTATTTATAGATTTTTATGTGGATTATTATTAGCATTATTGTTAGCGGAGAAGCAACCTCTTCTGATTGGTTGTTTTCTTGCTGAAGGTTATTCTGTTATCTCTTTGTGGTCGTTTCTAAAAAAAATCAAGCCGTATATCTGTGAGTCATATTTCCACGCTTTAACTCCACTGTGATTGGCTGGTGATTTTCTCAAGGTTAAGCTTTGTTATTGTTTTTCTCATGACCTCAATTCGGGACGTGAACACTGAGGGAAATTGTTGTCCACAATTTTGTCTTGCAGACAACTCTCACCACACCAGCACTTCTATCCCACATTTCATTTTTTCTGCAATCTGATCAGCCTTGCCAGCTTCAAACGTCGTGGAGATATTCCATATCGTAATGCCCATTTTTGCTTTCATCAAAAAAATGCACATCGGTCGAATGACTTCCACAAGGCTTCCACCAGGTCGCATCATTCTGTCTCTCGGATTCCAACGAAAAACAAGTTTATTTTTATATTTTGTATGTGGTATGAAGTTTCTACAGCGATTGGATTGGTTCTCCGAGGTAGAGTCGCTAGCTCCACGCCTGACGTCCCCCTTTTTTGAGCTTATGACGGACGGGTAAGTTAGGCGAGGTGACTAAAATAAAAGATATGCAGTAATAAAGTTACTGAGGCAAAAATGGCTGTAAAGTAAATAAATACGTATTTATACTGTTAATTAGAAGCAATATTGTGTCGTTTATTGTATCTATAAGACTACTTCTCGTCACACAACATAGACTAATAGTTAGAGATTTCCTGTAGTAATATTGTATCTTTTTCTGACCACTTTCAGGTTTTCAATATCTTACTTTAACTAACATCATATGATGGTGGCCAATGTAAATATAAGTTATTAATGTTAAAGTACTCATTGAAAATAACAGATAAGTGTAGCAATACGAATTGACGTACCACTCCTGTCATTGTAGCAATTTTAAATGACTGTATTAGATAGAGCAATTTGTTAATCTTAGTATCGTGTTTTATGTGAATCTTACTTTGGGAATAACATTGAAATGTTTTTGTTCTGTTAATTAGCATCGATAAAGTCTCTCGGATACTTTCACCAACTCTGATTATTCATGGAACTGATGATGAAATCATTGGCATTGATCATGGCAGAGAATTATATTCTCGGCTTACTTATCCTCTGGAACCTGCATGGATTGAAGGAGCAGGTCATAATGATATTGAGTTATTTTCTGAGTATGCGGCTCGATTAGATCGATTTTTCAATGAAGATATTATTGATTCACAGTGTGAGATTTCTTCAAATGTGATCGATTCTGTGGCAGAATCCCTTCATACTGAAGAATCCTCGAATCTTCGTCAACAGACATCACTTCCTAGTCAGTCAACTCAACTAAAATCTACAGAAGTAAAAGAGAATGTTTGTTCAACTTCTCAGTCTTCCACTCATGGCAATACCACTGAAGTCTTTAGTGGTGCAGTAGATGTTGTTACATCAGCTACATCCACAGATTCTACCTCGAGTGCAACATCTGTATTTAAATGTGAATCTCCTGGCGATGATAATACAGCTACTTCTGGTGGTGATAAAGCTGTTAGTGAAAGTGCTACCAAGAGTAATGCAACATCCTCAAATGCTTCTTCAGACAATGTTTGTACCACTCCTAATGGAATTCAGTCCACTTCTAGTACTGCTCAATTGTTTCACTAGGTCTAACTAATTCGTTCAATGTGGTTCACATTGTAATGTAAAAGTGAGTAAATTTTGATTTCTAACCGATGCACTTTGTACTTTCTGTCCGTTTTATGACATCTGTATTCTAAAGTTTTATTATTATTATTGTATCCTTTAATTCCTAGAGGAACATAGGGCTTCAGCCGCGCGTCTCCATTGCGTTCGGTTCACTGCTAAAGTTTTCACCTGGCTCCAAGCCTGCCCACATGCTTTCGTCTCCTCTTCACATGACCTCCTCCAAGTCACCCTTGCACTGACGACCAACTCGCCGCTTCCTTTTCGGGTTCCACTCGAGCAATGGCTTGTCTAGTGATGTCACTTGATGGTTTCCTCAGAGTATGGCCAATCCATCTCCATTTCTTCCTGCCTATTTGTTTCACAATCGGTTCCTGCTGGGTTGGTTCGCTCCCAGAGATCTCTGTTGGTGATCTTTTCTGGCCGCCATCTGATCTTGAGTATTGATCGAAGACAACTGTTAATGAAGGTCTGTAGTTTGTTTGAGATGCTCTTTATGACGCACAGTGCAAGTCTCTGATCCGTATGTTAAGTAGCACTGACTTCACATTGGAGTTGAAAATCCGGATCTTATTTTTGATGCTGAGAGTTGTTGACCTCCACACAGACTTGAGAGTAGTGAAAGCTTGTCTTACTTTTCCGATTCTTGCTTTGATATCCTCGTCAGTTCCGTGCTCCTGTAGTTGAAACGATGCATCCCAGGTAGGTAAAGGAGGTTGTTTCTTTCAGGTTCCTTCCATTTATGCTGATTGTTGTCTGTTGTCTAAAGTTTTAGCCTATACCTCAATTACTCAATTTTAGGACACACTGAATAAAAACTGGAAAGTTTTATATTGTTGACCGGAAGATTTGTTTTCAGGCAACTCAAATGCTTACTTTATTTGCCAACTATAAACTGGAACTAAAGCTTTAGATGATCATACCTTTAGGGGTTGTTAGTTATGCACGTATCCTGACTAGGGAATATCAGTAAGGAAACGGGGACCTAATTCGATCATTGGGTTACGTACTTTCTCACATAAATAATGCATCGCTTTTAAGCCGTTTCATTTGGTTCTCATCAATTACTATTGTTCTTAAATCGTCGTTTGTACCCACGTACTTTTTTAAAACAACTCTCTACTAGGCATTTTTTCGAGAAAATAATACAGGAAATATATCATGGGATAATAGAGCTGCGCTGCAAATTGAACAATATTGCGTCAGGTGGCATATTGTCGAGTATTGTTTTTATTAAAGATGTTTTCTACTGAATTTCTCTGAAGATTCAGTAGTGTATACAAACATATTGCCCAGCATGGTGCTGCTCTTATTCCTATCAAGAAATTGTGTATTCTTAGTCACCTCTTTCTCTCTACACATTATAACTAAGGTATATACCTGTCAATAATGGGTTTTGCCATTTAGAGTATGAAGTCATCTCCTTCAACTATATTTTTTCGACATCTTTCAAGAAAAGTTGATAGTTTCTTAGATGGCGTGAACTAACCATCAGAGTGATAATTCATCAACTTGTAATAATATAATCGGTCTAAGATATATTTCACCTTACTTTCCTCTATAATTGTGTATTTTAGTTACCTGTCAGACTCTATTTAAAGGCTCAAAATGGTGTGTAATCGTTTTTGTGTTCTTTACCAGTTAGAGTCTGCATAATAACCCTGTTCTTTAACAAGTGTGAAAAGGGTGAGGAAGCCTACAAAAGGAACATGTGAGAGAGATAATAGTGAATTAATTATTCAAATGAAAGCAAAGTAATCATTAAAAATTTAAAAAATTACAAGGAGCGACTAGTGAAGAGGTTAAGACTGTGGTAGAATAAGAAACTGGACAAAGTTTTGCTGTATACACAGTAGTTCGGCGTTGTATTGATGAATGGCCAACGCCTCCGCCATAAACAAATGCCGAAACCTGACGCCCTTTGTACCATTTGGCCTCACCTTGTAGATAATCTTGAAAGACAACTCTAGTAGAGCTGCGTAACTTGACTTCATCAAGTGCTCGAGAATTGAGCTAGTAAGTATCATTGAAAGTAATATTAAACACTGTACACAAATTGTTCTTTTTGTGGTTTTTGTATCATTTAAAAATTATTTTATTGTTTTTTTTCATTACTAACAAGTCGGTCGCAGAGAAGAAGTTTTTTTTCGACGAAGTCATTAACTAGGCTGTACATTCGTGTATTTATAATAAATGTGTGAAAATGTTCCCGAATTACTTCCGGTCAAAGGTTAAATTAATAAAATCACAAAGTGTAATAAACAGGAAGATCGGGTAGAAAAGACATAATAAGATCATAACTACTGAAAAACTTGACTGTTTGTGCATTTACGGATTAAGTACGTAGTAATAAACTAAGTAGGAAGTTCAGATAAAACACCACCAAATCTAGTAATGCAGATAGGAATTGAAAGCGTAAAAGTTTCAGCAATAAATAGGAAGGTTGGATTAGAAAGGTAATAGGGTAATCATTATTGATGGGACTGACTTTTCATGATGGCCGTGTTAGGAACAACGGTTGGGCATATTTCTTTTGAATACATAGCGTGGGCTTGAGCTCTTGGATCGCTATTGCCTCCGTTATTCCTAGATGTCTTGATTTCACTCCCTTTGATAGGTTTGGTCGGATCTTGTGTATGACTTTGAAGGATTTTTCAAATGGATCTGAATGTCCTGAATTCATCAGATGTTCTGTTACCGAAATGTATACACCTTTGCGTTCTCCCTTTGCTAACCATGCTGCGTAGTGTTCCCGCACGCGTTTTATAAGCGGACGCATGGTACGGCCAATGTACTCTGCTCCACATGAGCAAGTGAACTGGTATGCGCATACTGAAGTGGTGCAATGCTACAGCTTGTCTTTCACGGGCTGGTTGAATAGTTTCTCGCTGGAAAATGTTACTCTTAGGCTGGTAGCGAAGTATTTTTTTATTGAGAGATATCGAAAGCCGTCTACGGTGAAGTTCTGCTTCGGTTTCACTTTTGAATTTGAGGTTAAGTATCAGCATCTTCTAGTTATTTATGAATTTTGCGTATAGACTGCGGATGTATGATATACATGTTAGCACTAACACGTATTTATTGTATCTGTATATATAAGGGTGTTCTTTCAGCTCATTAACTTTTACAAACAATAATTCACTTGAAGTGTGTAATTATTGTTCCTGTTATGTCGTATATATCGACGTAGTAAAATAAGTTGTCGCATTTTGTCTGATTTTGTTTTTTTCTTGTTTATGTGCTGTCGTGAGAAAGTTGTTGTTTGTTACCATTGATTTTCTAAGTATTGATGCGATTACCTACCACTACCTACCCACTAGTTAAATGGTGCTTATATCACTATTTAAGGTCTAGACAATAGAAATCAGTCGTAAATGTTTATCGACCAGATGACTGTAGATTTTCATTAATTCATGTTACCTACCCTCCGTGTTTGTCTATGATACCTGACCCACATTATAAGATGACTAGTCTAAGACATAATGTCGGTTCATTGGGATACCGACTGCTTATTCGAATTTAGTCAGTATCATAGAGATGAGGTAATAAATGAGTTCAGTATGACAGAAAAATCCATTCCTTAACTTGTTGTAAATTGAGGATATTTCACTTTTCTCAACCTAAGTTGTTAGTTCCATTCCCTCGTTAGTTAATCATTCAGTTACCAGTATTAATGGATAACTAACTGTTTTAACTTAAGTTCCCATTGTAAAAGTTAACTTAACCAAAACAACAACAAATTTTATCGCAGCTGTTCAATCATTAGTAGTGTTTTCATATGAAAATGCTGATAAAATTCAGATATCTGGAATTACTGGGGAAAAAAACTTGAGTGTATTTAGCATGCTGTTTGTCTCTTTCAAATATAAGATGAGACTGTACAATTGGTCTGCCTTAGTTTCTAGTTTAAGAATTAAGAGGAAACTTGTTTAATGTGTTGACTACTTCAGTTGGTTTTCAATGTCACACTGACCTTAATGGGATAGTGTTCAACGAAATATCATTACTGATATGAAAACGTTATGTAGCATTTGCCCGCTTGCCTCATCTTTGTGTAGGGGATGTACACAGTTACCATGGTAAGACTTGTCTACTGCTCAGAAGACACTGAAAGCAGAATAAACAGGAAGTCTTCTGGATTTTGACTTTGATCATTTGTTTACATTAGACTTCAAAAAAGGGTGAATTATGTCAACATTAGAGTGCTGGATAAGATAAGTAAATCAGTCAATGAGATTGTGAATCTTTATCCCTTGGAATGATTGGGATGTGTTAGGGTTGGCGCCAATTTGTAGCGTTCATTGACTAGTAGTATTAAATGAATTAGGAGAAAGCCATGAAAATGTATGGACTGATCAGACTTGAGCATATCGCCAATTTATCTAATCATTTATGGTTGATCTCAGAGAAAAGTGATATAATATTGGGACGTCCTTCACAATGGCGCAGATGTATTGACTTCGTATCATCGAAATTCTGAACATCACTCCTCTTCATTGAATTATTCTTCTTTTTACATATGTTCCATCGAAATGTTATTCTATTCCTATCATCTTGTCACTCATCTTCAAGTTCTCCTTACAAATGCCTTATAAAACGAACAATAAATAGCCATAGCGAACGTTGAGTTGGGGTTGAAACTGCATAAATTTTCATTCACTGATGAGTATAATTTTCAAACATTGTTAGATTATAAATAGAAACTCGTCCAGATGTTTAAGATAAGTACTAAATGATGTTCTATCTGTTTCCTGCGTTATAGTTGGGCTGCATTACAATACTTTATTAGGTGTTTAAACAGCACATATTGGACATTTTTAGATGCTTATCTCACCCTACTTGTGATACAGATGATAACGCGTGAAAAAAAAGGTGAATGTAAGTTATTTTCCTTGCAACTGTTCAAAACTATCTCCTGTTTACTTGAAAATGACCCGGTTTTTTTATTTGCATTTTGTCAATCAAAAGATTTCTAAAACTTTTCTTTCTTTCTGTTTTTAACTTTTCTAGGACACTTTACTCCAATTTGTTCATAAAATCACTAAAATAAAATTGTTAAATATGTGTGTACACATTACACATTATTTGTGTATATGATTTCCTGTTTACATCTGGAATAATTTGTTATGCTCTATTTCAGTTTGTATTTTATGTTCTTATTGCATTTCACTTCCTTTTTTTCTTTCTAATTATTATCAACTACACTCAACTATAGGGAAAATAACTCGGGGTGTTTAGCTTACAAGCTTTCTTTTTTTTCAAACTACCTACTAAAAAAAATCAATTGTTTGTTTTATATAGGAAAAAAATTTTTTTATGGTTGTTTCTTTTTCTTCCTATTTCATTGGAGTATGTTTTCATTCTCTATAAGCCGATACTTACGGTGGATCTCGTTTTTGCCTAAATCATTACAAGGTTCCGAAGGGGAAAAAAACAAAACAAAACACAACGTTTACGTTTAACATTTAGTTGTTATGTCTGATTTATTTTGTAATCTCAAGCTTTTTTTTGTAAAATTTCTACTTAATACACGCCTCTCTTTCTTGTTTTCCTTCGTTGGATAAATGAATAGTAAAACAAATTTCCTCTTTCTTTATCTTCAATGTTTGTTTTTTTGAGAGTCATAATTTAGCTTTAGGGAAAAAACATGTAACTTGATGAGAGATGAAATCGTTTACTATTTATTGCGTAGCCGTACAAATGGAACACAATGTTTGTGCATGTTCTATTCTTTCTTCCCATTACAGCAAACAATCTCAAATATGCAGTTGTGTGTGTGTGTGTGTGTACTGATTGTTGGATTCTATATGATATAGATATATATGTTCTATAAACTCTCAGTTTACATAATCTGGTTCAGCCAACTCTTCTTTTTTAATTAGTATTTATTGATAGCAATATTGAAAAGGGATTTTCTATTTGTTTTCATTTGATTGTATTACTTGTGTTTTATTATTATTATTATTATTATTACTACTGTTAAGTAACGTTTGGTATTCATTTGTATATGAATAAAATTTTATTTTTCTTTGTTTATTACTCTCTTGGTTCTCCTCTTAAAATTTCACCTTGTTGTTAAGTTGATTCTCGAATAGTAGTGAAATATTAAAGTGAATATTACTTTGTGCAATTTGTTATAACTGTTATTTTAAATATTCTGTCAATTAGTAGTAATAGTAATATTATTATCATTACTGTACTTTATGTATAAAACTATGCATATGCTGCTGACATACAGGTGTAAAAATTTATTTTATTCTCAAAAAGGAATATATGCATATTTTTAACTTTTACTTTTGAAATTCTTCTTCCACAAATATGCTTACCATAGAGTCAAGTATATGTCGGCGACCATACCACGTTGAAAGCATCGGTTCTCGTTCGATCACCGAAGTTAAGCAACGTTGGGCCCGGTTAGTACTTCCATGGGTGACCGGCTGGAAATACCGGGTGTTGCCGGCTTTTTGGTGTGTCGGTGGCACAGTGGTTAGGATTCTCGCCGACCATGCACATGGTCCGGGGTTTGATTCCCCGCCGACGCACACCCGATATCTATGGTCGGCCTGCAAAATTTGGGCTACCGATATCCATGCTGAAAATTCCATACTTTTACCAAAAATACGGTGTGGCATCAAGCTGTAATCAAAATAAAAAAAAATAAAAACAGGCGGCAGTGTGAGTGAGTAATCAGCAAGTATGATCACTATATGGCCATATGACACTTACACTGTACCTCAACATGTGTCTTTCATTCAAATGTTCTATGAAGTAATCTGGATTGAATATGGTTTTTTTAGAATAAGTTGTATTCTTACCTGTAGAGACTACTCTTTATCGTAATGGTGTCCTCTCCTACACAGTTTCAGTAAAGTTTTCAAGAAATTGAGGCAATCGCACTGCATCTTCGTAGATACAAAGATTTCGGGAGAAAAAATCCTGATATTTTAGAAACTACTCGAATCATTATGTAGAATTTTCAGCATCCTAGTCCAAAGACTTTGTGCTTAAGTCTTTATACCTCAGGTGGTGTATGTATAGTGTGTTTCAGAAACATTTACTGAAGATTCAAAAAGGTGTATTTCTTGGACAAGTCATACTGATGGGTGTCTGAGATTTTCATTGCTATGGATTTCAATGAAGAAGTGGTATTGAGGTCTTTCCAGTGTATAAGTGAAATCAAGCCTTATAACAGCTTAATAACCGGTGATAAAACTCTAGCAACTGTTACTCCACATCCCCATATTTTAGATGTCCAGGGAAGGACTGCAACTACATGTAGTGTCGAACCAGGTTTACTGAAATGTACAGGTTATTCTGTTGATAAAAAAGCAATCTTCCACTGACATTACTAAGCTTATCAGGGTAACGATGTGGGACCCGACAGTGTACCTTACCTGATCCAGATCATGACGCTTATGTAGTGTAAATCCCCTGGCAGCAAAATACATCTCGGTTGAAGTCAGTAAAACCAATTAAATACATGTTAAATGAATTGCAACTTGCTTTTCGAATGCTTTAGACTTTGTTTGAAGTAGTAAGCACTTGGGCAGACAGTAACACTACTCTGATTAACATTCGTGTTGGTTAACACGAATCGTTTCATTGTCCAGATAGAATGATTACGTTTCTCGATAAAGTAAGGAAGACCAATAATGTAAGCGTAGGACTTGAGCACTGTGGTAGATTTTGCAGGAACTTCTCATCAGAAGACTATTCAACAACCGGTGTACAGCTTCTACTAGTAGACAAGCCTCCAGCAATGAATACTTCTGCGGATTATATTAGTAATTTGTAATAGCGGACTTTAACTGTATCACGGAGTAACCATTAATCTAAATAACTCGTTAACTGTATTTTCTATGATATACTTTTACATTATCATTTCGTCAACTTGGATTTTTACTCTAATATTTGTTCCGTTACCGAACTCGCTAATTAGTACCCTACACGTTCCACAGCAGTACGATATATTTTGACTAACCTTAGTAAAGGTCACGTATATGCTGAAACTCGCCAGAAGAGCGGCACAATTGAAGTAATGTGTATGGGTGAGAAGAAAGCATGATCTTGAGTTGCTGTTGTTGCTAACTTGAAGTACTCGAATGATCAGCCCGCTAAAGTGCATTTCGACCTCTGCTTTACTGACTTATGAAATACACTTGGTAACGTAAAATGTCATGAAAATGAGTTACGCTTTTTGATTACATGTGTACAACAACAATTGCTAGACAGTGCTATACGAAGTCTTACTGCAAAATTAAAATTGTTGGCGAGCTGCTACTGGCCTCACCAGGGAGCTACTTGATAAACGTATGGTGAAATTATCTCAATATCGAATAAATTAAGAGTTAGGTCGAAATTTTATGCTTAAGTATACCTATAGCCTGACAACTTTACGCAGAAGTTTCAAAAATTGTCATGTTTAAGTAGTAACTGGCGACGTAAAATGACTGACTTTAAAAGCGTATGGCATTTACGATTATTATTTATCCATATGATAGATACTTCTTTTATGGATCTGGCTTCTTTAATGCAAAAAATACGCAATTACTGCTAGATACATCACTTTAGTGTGATAGTTACTTGGTACTTTGGATCCAGTTTTAGGTTAGTGAATAGATTTTTCGACGAAAGCTGATTAAACTTTTATCAGGCGTGAAGACTATACATTCAGTGTCGGAAAGTTGTAGTTCATGTTATTCCTACACTCAATTCGAATAAAAGTAATGTAGGGGAGATCATTATCCATGACAGTAGCTGTGAAAAGCGAAAACTGCAAGAGGAGTGCAGACGTAGCTGATAAGGACTAACATGTAATGAAACTTACGCGGAATAATACTAATTATAAATACGCTATTCATTTTCGATTCAAAAGTCAGGTCATATATATGAAACTTTGTAATGTTTGCGCATACGAATAACTGCAATGTATACTCCTAATAAAGAGCTGGTAATTTGTTTCTGTTGGAGATAATCATATGAAGAAATTATAAGGACCTCGTCAAACCAAAAAGTCAGATGAACGAGTGGTTGAAATTCAAACTAGGACTACATTTTTGCAAATAAGAGTTGAATTCGTAAGTTGCGATAAGTCTGGAACCAGTGGAGTGACAAAGAGTTTTTATGAATGTAACGTGCAGGATGCGTTATTAACATGTTGCGTTCTTCATTCCGTGTGCCCAGGAGTCCATTTATTCAATGACTTAACTAACCTGTAAATGCGGATGGAAAATCTTAGTGACTTGGAAATACTGGTGGAAAGGAATAAATTCAAAAACACTTCAAGATCTTATGTGGCTGAACTAATGATTCTGAGGAAGTGTGTGTTTCTAGTCTTAAAAAGCTCACTAAATGGAGTCTGGAAATTTTTGATCTGATTTAGTTAATAGCTCAGTGGTAACGTCTCTTAATGTGATAATGGGTGGCACAGGTTTGAGTATCAGGATGGACCTATGTGCGTCGGTGGCACAGTGGTTAGGACTCTCGCCGACCATGCACATGGTCCGGGGTTCGATCCCCTGCCGGCGCACACCCGATATCTATGGTCGGCCTGCAAAATTTGGGCTACCGATATCCATGCTGAAAATTCCACACTTGTACTGCAAATATGGTGTGGAATCAAGCTGTAAATAAAAATAAAATAAAAAATAAATATGTTCCTTCGAGGTTGCGAATACGCCTTACTGAAAAGTGCCATCTAGCACGAAACCTAGATCTAAGGCATTCTACCGATTGTCCCCAACCGTATAATAGGGTAAAGCTACACAGATTCGATAAATAGGGAGAAAAATATATGAGTATTTTGTCGTTCCTCCAGATTATATGGCCAAATTCTGAAAAGGGGACTGTAATGGTCTCTTTACAAACACAGCTTAACTTCATGAACAGTCAAGACTTTCACTGCCTTTACAGGTTCCCAACGAAGAAAACGGGTTTGACATATTACCTTCAAATCATGGTCAGGGTTTGTTAAACGGTGGAATTCTGTAAGGTTTTCTGGAAGATATCCCACACCTTTCCTGTCTCCTAAGCAAAACCATGTAACTGTAGAGAGTATTCTCCGGCTGATATAAGTATAAAACCTGGGCACTGTAGTAGAGTATAACTTAGGTTGACCCCGAGAAGAAAAATAATTTAGATAAAAGCTCAACAACTGCAGTGCATGCATTAACACACAACTACACAATAGGGTAAGAGAAGGCTAAAATTCTAAGAAGTAATCTATGTAGGTGGAGAGATTGATTGATTACTTAATCATGGTATATTGAGTCTACACCCAACACATGCAACAGAAATGACTCAATGCAAATGCAAGAAATATGGAAGATATTATTACCACCAGTAAAATCAGAGGAGGATAATAAATAATCTCAAAATTCTATTTCAATTCAAGCACATCACAACATTTTAACAAGTTACTTATTATGACTATAGAAACACTCGCCTTGTTTCCCATCTCATTGTAATTTATCACTAACACTTATATTATTATCCCATATTGATTTTTATTCAAATATCTAATTAATTCTACTCATGTTTAGAAATGAAGAAAAAAGTTGTGTTAGTAATTTGATATGATTATGAGCAATAGTTTGTGCTCGAAACGTCATCAGTTAATATTACTGTACAACACTGTGTGACTTATCAAAATAAAATCTTATCCATAATGGAGCATTTCCCGGCGATGGCCAATATACCTTGTTCATTAGAGCAGGTGAACTGGTGGATGGTCATTTAGCCGGTCAGAAGAAAAGGCATATCATTTTCCCTAAACGACAGAAAACTTCACTCTGTTAATTTGTTGACATCACTTGAAACTTTTTCAAACATTCACAAATAACCCACCTTTATTTCATATGAGAGTTGAAGATTATATTGCCAGCCCGCCAAGTGTTCAGGGCAGCTAAATTCCACTTAGCTTTGGGTACACGTGGTCAGATTAAGAAGGCATTTACGGCTTCCTTAGGATCGATTCGCGTACATGCCTAAAAGCTAGACATTTATCAAACCGCTTTGGATTTGATTATACATATTTACTGAAAACGGTTCGCACATTAGGAAGACACAACAAAACTAATTTTTACCAGGGGTATCATGTCCATGCATCTGGCCCAAGGACTAAGCAGGCATTTTGAAGTATGTATATTGGGGGAAGTATGTTGGTGATAGGATATATACCAGCCATGCGTGTGATTCGTAGTTCGAACTCGGCCAGCGCACACTTTTACGTCCATCGGCTGA